ACTTGTTTAATCTAACATGATTCTCATTCATAAAGGGTAAATGTGTAATAACATGCAAAGCCAAGCTTTCAGTATATAACACTAACACTAACATGCCAACACAACTAATGAAATAGGTGGTGATATCTGTGGTCGGTCCATCTGGCAGCATATTACAATCAAATGATATTTTCAACTTGTTATTCCCGCTTTGAAGCATTAAATGTGGCAATCGTGTTGCTCCGCGCCCGCCCTTTTGACAATCTTCCTGAGAATGAATCGACTCGTTCCTAGAGTCGGAGTGAGCATCATCACTATTGGAATCCTCCATTCCTGCACGCAACAAAGTGAATTATATAAATAAATGTACAACATTGTAGGGAAAAGAATTGACACTTGAAATATAAAATAGAACAAAAATGTTGTTGTAAACTGTAAAGCAATGAGTAGTAACACAATAAAACAAAAATTTAATTCAAGTCACAGATCGTTGTGTTCTTTTATTCCAAATGACTTGAATCTCGTACATGGGGAATGCAAATACTAGCAAAACATCAACTTATGTTGTCACACAAATATCAAACAATTATTACAACACAACTATTACAACAATTAACTTGCATCACATACATCATCAAGTTAATTTATTTTACAAACATCATACAATTATAAACACCAAATAATTATTTTATACTTACTGACAAAGTTAATTTATTGGTGTGTTTTCCCATATGCCTTCATGATGATCGTTTCTTGCAGCACATACATCATCAAGTTCATTTTAACAGGTATCCTTGATGAGGTGGAAGGAAGTTCAGAAACATCAAAAGTCAAGTCATTCTTATCATCATCTGATACTTGTCGTTTCCCATGGAGGACAACTGAACAATTTTTGTTGCTCGGGTCAATGACATAAAACACTTGCTTTTCTTTTCTTGCCATGATAAATGGTTCATTCTTGTATCCAACTTTACGAAAATCGACTAAAGTAAATCCTAACTCATCAACTTTCACACCATTATTACTATCCACCCATTTACATTTGAAAACAGGCACAGTAAACTTAATGTAGTTAAGCTCCCATATCTCTTCAATAATCCTAAAATAAGAGGTAGAGGCACATAATGGGTTTTTGTCTTTTGCACTTGAGAAATGCATTGATTCCGCTTCAACTGAAACCCCACTATTTTGCATAGTGCTCTTTTCATCTCGTTCTTTCGTGTAAAACGAATACCCATTTATGTCGTAACCACGCCAAGATATGACATCAAAATTAGGTCCAGCGGCTAACCAGGAGACTGTATTTGAAGCGGACGGGCAATTTGCAACTTCATTTTTAAACCACGATATGAAGGTCTTGTTATGCTCGTTCACTAACCATCGTTCTGGTTTTCGAGAATTTTTCTCCTTTATGAATCTCCTATGCATATCCAAATAAGGTTCAACTTCAGGAGTATTGGTTAGAATATACAGATGTGCCTGTAACAACTCTTCACGATCAACACTCTTTATTCGTCCCCCAAGTGTCCCTTTTCCAGGACATCTACCCACTTGGCGAGACTTTGGAAGACCAACAGATTTAGCCCGTGATAGATACTCAGTACAAAACTCAACCGCTTCTTCTGCAACATATCTTTCAACAATAGACGCCTCCGGTCGATGAGGGTTCTTCACATAACCCTTTAGAATTTTCATATACCGCTCAAATGGATACATCCATCGCAAATGCACAGGGCCACATAACCGAATCTCCCTCACTAGGTGAATGATTAGATGTACCATGATGTCAAAGAATGCAGGTGGAAAATACATCTCGAGTTGACACAAGATAACTACAACATCATTCTCTAAATCATCCAATAGTAGAGGGTCAATGGTCTTAGAACAGATGGCAGTGAAGAAGAAACACAACTTACTGATCGTGCATCTCACTTTCTTTAGTAATATACCTCGAATGGCCACATGTAATAATTGTTGGAACAATACATGATGGTCATGGGACTTTAACCCCACCAGCTTCAACTCTTTTATGGATACGAGTCGCTTAATATTAGAAGAATACCCATGGGGAACTTTTATTCCATGTAAGCACTCACAAAAACTTCTTTTCTCATTTTTGGATAGGGTGTGACAGGCCGCCGGCAAATAAGTCCTCCTACCTTGAGGTATTGGTGCCAACTCCTCTCTTATGCCCATAGCAACCATATCCTTCCGTGCATTTAGAGTATCCTTAGTCTTCCCTTGTATGTTGAGAAGAGTGCCAATAAGACTATCACACACATTTTTTTCAAATGCATCACATCAATGCAATGTCGGACTTGAAGCTCGTGCCAGTATGGAAGCTCAAAAAAGATAGATCGTTTTTTCCATAAGCTTTTTTGAGTTGCCTGTTGTGCCTTACCAAATTTCACATTCATATTTTTCACTCGGTCGAAAGCATCTTTAGCAGTTAAGACATCTGGAGCCTTCTCATACTCCTGCTCACCGTTGAAAGCTTTTTTCAATCTACGATACGGATGGTCAGGTTTTAGAAATTTTTGACTTCCAAGGTAGACAGTCTTTCTTCCATGTTCAAGTTGATGGTAGCACGTGTTTTTTTCACATATAGGGCATGCTTTATGCCCCTTAACGCTATAGCCAGACAAGTTTCCGTAAGCTGGGAAATCATTTATTGTACAAAAGATCATTGCACGCATTTTAAAGGCTTCTTTCTTATATGCGTCGAATACATCAACACCTTCATCCCATAACATCTTCAAGTCTTCGATCAACAGTTGCAAGTAAACATCTATGTCATTTCTAGGTTGTTTTGGCCCCGAAATCATCATAGACAACATAATGTACTTGCGTTTCATGCACAACAAGGGAGAAAGATTATAAATGGTCAATAGAACTGGCCATGCACTATGCTTGCTGCTGAGATTGCCATATGGATTCATCCCATCAGTACAAAGTCCGAGTCTTAAGTTTCTGGGCTCATTTCCGAAGCAAGGAAAAAGTTGGTCAATCTTTTTCCATTGAGGCGAATCTGCCGGGTGACGGAGCATTCCATCTTTTTTTCTCTCATCTGCATGCAATCTCAAGTTTTTTGCCTCTGTTTCACTAGCAAAAAGACGTTTCAATCTTGGTACTATAGGAAGATACCAGAGCACCTTTGCAGGTGGTCTCTTATGTTGAACACGTGTACTTGAATCTGCATCAGCTCCCTTTTTGAATCGTGAAACTCCACATTCCGGACACTCCTGAAGACTTGTGTACTCATTTCTGTACAAAATGCAATCATTAGGACAATCATGAATCTTCCTATAACCCAAGCCTAACGGGCACAAAACCTTCTTTGCATCATAATTGGATTTCGGTAACTCATTATCCTCGGGGAGCATTTCATTAAGCAAGCACAACAACTCTGTAAAACTCTTATCACTCCACCCATGTGCTGCCTTCAAGTTTATTAGTTTTAAAATCGCAGTCAAACGGGAGAAGTTCTAACAACCACCGTAGAGAGGTTTTTCTGCATCAACAGAGAAGGACTCACAAACCTTATTTACATGTGCTTGTTCAAATGACTCTGCTCCGACATCATTAATCATGTCTTCTACTCGATCATACATATGTGCATCCTCTGCATCAATTTCTTCAGTTCGGGATGCAATCGGCATATCAAATTCGCCGTGCCAAATCCACCGTGTATAACTTTTGTTGAAACCATCGCAAATGACATGCTCTCTTATTTCTTCAACACATAGTCGTCGATTGTTCAGGCAATTCACACACGGACAATAAAATTTTCCATTTATACTTTCGGAATCACGTCGCTTAGCAAACTCCAAAAAGTCTTCCACTCCATTCTCATATTCAATACTTGTGCGCGTTGCATTTATCCACTTACGATCCATAACTTGCTAAAATGTTCATGTTAAATAAACAATTCTAACAAAGACAATATAGTAACAATTCTATTCTTGAAAAACAATGTCACAAGAAAAAACATAAGACTATAATATATAGTAAAAATCAAAAACTCAAAAACTCAAGTTAAGTTTAATTATCACAAAATGTCTTCATCATCACTGTAAAGAGAGTAATGTTTTCATTTTCTGAAATGTATAGTTAAACTAGGTGTAGTGACTAGTAGAATCAAACATAAATATGTTGGGCTGTAGATATTCCACTCCAAAAGTTTTGACAAAGAAAACGAATGAAAAAAATAACACTCAAGAATGAAAAAGAAAAAAAGAAAACACTCAGCATAATGTGTCAACTCTGTAAAATATATAAGCATATTTTTTACCATCCATTCCCTGCTAATGCTAATTCTGGTGTGTTAGACTTCTATCATTCATGCCAAATGAAAAAAAAAAAATTGCTGTGGATTATTTTTCTGTGTCTAGATTTTTCTGTACTTCTCAATTACAAAATGCAATTCTCTTACGTACCAAGTCACCTCTATTATTCTCATTTCACTGGACAATTTAAAGCCTAATGACCGAGTTTGAGGAACAAAGAATAAAAAATTAGACAAAGGTTAACTCTTATCTATGTGAATATATACTCCGCTGACTTGAAATGATTATCTCCCCTATAGCATATCATGCTCTTCTTCAAGAATAACCACATAATTCAAGTCGCCAACATGAATCCTTATGCGAAACATATATCTAAAAAGCAAAATGCGAAACATATTCATCTTAAACCCCAACAACAAAACATATAAAACAGCAAAAGAGAATAAAACACTGGTACGAACATATAAAACAACAGCAAAAAGATAATAAGAACTACCAAAAGATATAAAACAATATAAAACAACAAAAACATATAAAACAGCAAAACATATAAAACATCAAATGAGAATAAAAGAGGGCTTCTTCATATAAAACATCAACAAAACAGAATAAGAACTACCAAAAGAGGGTGAGAATCTCAAAGATATTGGAGAATCGAACGGCGAGGGATAAGGGTGACGAGCGACGTGCGAACAGGGCCTGGTACGAACGGCGAGCACCAAACGACGAGGGCTAAGTGCAACGGACGGCGAGGGCTGCGAGGTCGAGGGCTCAGTGCAGCTTCACGGCAAGGGCTCAGTACGAACGCGGGCACCGGAAGTCGAGGGCTCAGAGCAGCGGACGGCGACGGCTGCGGGGAACAGGTTGTGTGCGAATAGGGCTTAGGACGAACGACGACGGGGGCCTGGTACGAACAGCGACAGACGGAGTGGGAAAAGGGCTTGGGACGATTTTCTGTGATTTTGTGCGAGATTTAGATCTATTCTGTGATTTTGGGCGAAATAGAGGCAGACGGTTAGGCGCGAGAAAAGACGGGGGAATCGAAAAAAGATGTGATAATCTTAAAAATTGTGTAACAATTGTTTAAATACCCGTTATAAATAATTGAGAATCTAAAAAATTTATAACGGTTTTTTAATACCCGTTATAAATAATTGAGAATCGGGAAAATTTATAACGAATATAATTAGTTTCATAGACACCCGATATAAAAAGAATATAATTATTACAAAAATGCCATCGTCTTAAATTTTATAACGGATTTAACAAATCCGTTATAGAAACCCTGTTATAAAATATGTTTTTTCTACTAGTGCTTCTCCAAATTCCATACTTATTTCCACGGTAGCTCTTCTTCTTCTTGTTTTTGTTCTTACAGACACGAAGGAGATAGAGATAGATCAGATGGAAAGACTGATTGATGAGGAGAGCAAAGTGTACGAACTAAGCAAAGCGAAGTGAGTTAACTCATATTTCCTGTAGTGCTTCAGTCACTGCAGTCTTTATGAGGAAGAAGAGAAAGCCAGTGAATAAATCCAGGAAGGGTCGCCTTAGGGTTACCTCTCCCTTCCTATCTTCTTCTTCTTCTTCTTCTTCTTCTTCTTCTTCTTCTTCTCTCACGAAGCCTGGTCTTCTTCTTCTTCTTCTTCTCTCACGAAGCCTGGTGATGACAGTCGGCCGAGGGCTGAGGAGTTCCACTCGCCTCTCGGCAGGGGGGAGTGGCGTGGCAACCAACGAATTCGGTGGCTGAAGTAGACGACTACGATCGTGCGGCGGTCCCTTCTGGTTCATAAATGGCGGAGGTCGCTGGACTGCGGGCTTCAGCCAAGGTTGGTGCCGCCAACGGCTGTATCATCGGTGAAGCAGATGCAAGGTTGAGCAATTGCGAGAACAGTAGGAGAAGTACTGTAGCAAGAATATTTTAGAATATTTCGAATGAACAGTATATGTTGAGTTTATAGACTATATTTTCCGTATATATTGCAGTTTTATTTACACAATTTCGATGTTTGAATTTTGTTCATATTCTTTACTTATTTTAATGTACAGCATATGTACATCTTGATTTATGATCAGTATATGTATAGTATCATATACACATGCGATATAAAAAAATGTGTCGACAAAAAAAAATAAAATTACCTGGTCGAGTTCGCCTATTTTTCAGTGTTAAATCATCAATATGGATTGATATTCCTGATCGTGTAGTTTGTATATAGATAGAAGATGTAATTTGTATATGTTTTTAAGCAATATAGTTTCACTATACATCTTAGTTTATGATCAGTATATGTTAAATATATATATACACATGCGATATAAAAATATAATACAGATTGTATGTGTTCTCGTTGTTGCTTCTTCAACGAGATCACTGTTGTGTTCTCGTTTTCACAAATCAAATTATGCAGATTTTTAGGAAACTACCAATCTCGTGATTGTATGTTTATTTACCATGTATTACTATTTTTTTTAGACATGCATCCCGTCGGTTACGGAAATATTGTTATGGTAAGTCATTATATTTGGTAACTGATTTAAGGAACATTTCATCCTATTTATTTGGTAACTGATTTTATCATCTTCACAAATAATTGTCATGCCATTGGTAGGGATGCAAATAAAATCTCCCCCTTTGCACAAATACAAGTATTTTAAAATCATATGGTAAACAAAAAATTTCGCCATGTTTTTTTGGTGGCCACGTGTCCCTTTTATTTCTTTTGATAAATGGGCTAATGCATTATTTGGGTCATCAAATCACTTTCTCCTATTTTTTAGTTTGTTGCACTTCAGCCCAAAAAATGTTGGGCCCTACTAAAATACAACTTAGGCCCAAGTTATGTGGCTTATATTGGGCCAAGTATGGAGCAGCCCAGTATTTTGCCGGCTGAAACTTTGTTTATTGTCACACCGCCCATGAAAATACTCCAATATCCTAAAAATAAGATATAAAAATATCATAGAACGTGGATCCATCTAATAAATAAATAAGTCGAAAAATATATGCGGGAAAAATAAGCATATAAAATACGCTAATAAATATATAAAATACACACTTTTTCCGACCAATCATATATTACACTAAATAATATATAAATGTTACATAAACATAAAAAATACACACTTTTTCCGACCAATCATAGAGGATGTATATTAATACTCAAAGAGAACAACGTTTGAATACAAAGGATACAACTATGCCAAAGTAAAAACTGGGAGGACACACTAACAAGCGGCCTAGAAACCCACAGACGGGCCAACATACCAAACTAACAAGACTAATCTAACTTATAGTTTTAATATTATATGCATAAATAATTTATAATACTCTGTTTAAAATATAATATCATTATATAACTTATAATTTTAATATTATATGCGTAAAAATAACTTATTATATTTTATTTACATCTGTGCAAATGCACAAAGTCGAATACTAGTATAATCTAATGAGTTGAGTGAAAATAAAAAAGAATATATGGAAAAATTATTGTAAAAATAGCTATTAAGAGCTAAGTTATTATATAAATAATAATAATGATGATGATAATAATAATAATAATAATAATAATAATAATAATAATAATAATAATAATAATAATAATAATAATAATAGTGCATGGAAATATTGGAGACATCATTCAAAAGTAGAGAGGAATCGAATCAGCCCACCGCTTTATTACTTGTGCTTTTTCACAGTTTGCCACAGCTCTCTTTACCACTCCCCAAGAAAATGGTGGGTGGTATTCTCATACATGCATATCCTAATTATAAGTGTTTCCTTTTTTAATTATTTGTCCATTTTCACAATTGTTAATAGTATTTTTCATCATTTTCCCCTACATATTGTTTCTTGGAGAATGGTCAGCTGATTCTCGCTTTACACCTAGATTTGAGAGAGAGAGAGATATTTCATAATTCATTCAAAACTGAGTACTACACAATATACACAAGAAAAGATCATTAAGGGGAGAAAAGGAAAATGTGACAGCAAAAAAGCCATGGCAGTGTGTGTAATAGAGAGAGTGAGAAAAAAGAAAAGATAATAAAAGAAAAGATGGTCAAATTGGACCTCGAAGACTACTTCAATTCCCATTCCATTAACAGCTTCGGCTATCTTTATCGAAACTCCCTACCAAATCTCTTTCTTTTAATATTTTGAACACCTTCCCTTAATTTGAACAGGCGGAGTTAAATGTTCTTTCATTTTAATCCTCACTCAATTTTACAGCTGTTTCCTTAATCTCTGTCTTAAAAGGAAGATTTAACAATAATATTTATTGGAATTCAGCAACGTCGTCCTTGGGAAATCCAGCCATGCAACTTTGGCTTCGATTTCAGCTTCAGATGAATAGATACGCTGTGTAGCTACATTTATTGAAATCTGACACACACGAGTGGACGGATATCTGCACTCTATCATTGCCCCCCGAAAAAAAAAAGTATAAATTTGTTTCTCTATTTATTAGAAAAGAATAGAATAAAAAAACATGAAATTTCAGCTGAAGGTTGGGGAGCTATTCGTTCATTTTTCTTTTCATGTTTTTCCTTGTTAATAAAAAACAAAATCATTAATTTTTAAAAATGAATTGAATGCATTAATATTTTCTTCCCAAACTATTTAAAGTTTCTGGTTTTATATCAGACTAGTACAACACCAATGTAACGCACAGATGCTTGTTAAAAAAATTATTCTTAATTTAAAAATTAATGAGAAAAAAAGTTTTAAAATTTAAATACTTTTTACAAAAATGTATATTATTATATATTTTAGGATGATACTTCAATTTACTTGTGTTATATTATAATGATTTTTCTAACTTGTACCATATAAATAATTTAAACATAAATAAATTGATTAATAAATAATTTCTTTTTCTAATCATGATTAATAAGTAGTTTTATTATTATCTAAAAGATAAATATAATTTATTTATTTTTATATATAAAATATGGATGTCAAATCGAAGCTCATGAAAAGATACTTAATTCGATACATTGTATATGTAAAACCGATAAAAATACAAAAGTTATCAACTTTTAAAATACACTAGTACGTACCCCGTGCGATGCACGGGACAGAGATATTAAATGAGTTATTTTCAAAGCCTTGTCCGTTGAAGTCTAAAAAATAATAAAGTTATTATCTATTTTCTACCTCTTTTAATCAACGTTAAATCTTAAAAACAATAAGGTTATTATAAGTTTTTTTCCACATCTTTTAACCAGCGTTGTTTTTTTAGCCAGAACATTAAATGTGAGCATGTTGGGGCTAGCTTGTAAAATAATTAATATATTATCTCACTAAAACATTTATACTAATAAAAATATAATTTTAGCATATAAATTTATCCCTTGATATAAGAGAAAGTAACAGGTTTACTTATTGTTGTACACCATATAATATTTAATTATTATTTTGTTATATAATAAAAAAAATACTATTAAATAGTGTAGTAGAATTGTTATAAAATTATATGAATTATTTTTTTACAATATGGATTTAATATCTTTTTATGATTGGATAATATAAACAAATCTATACTTACATTTGACTTTTCCAGCAAAGGCAAAAAAATCGGTTCTGATTTTTATCCCATAACAAATCTTTAGTATCAAGCCTATAAATACCAAAACAAATATGTAATTAATGTCATTCTATTTCCAACAAGCATTAATTATCTTTGACTTTTCTGCCTATTATTTCTAGTAAATAGGATGACATTTTATATAAGTATAGATTTACAATTCAATTCTTATAATAAAAAATGATATTAAAATACAATTAATACATCCAAAATGACCATAAATAATCAACTTATATATGGATAATCCGGACCTAATTATTTTTGGAGTGGAAGTAAATTAAAATATATCCAAGCCAAATAATGTAGCATGAAATTTCGCTATGTAGCATTTCAAAGTATTCAAACCTGCCACTTATACTGAGCATTCGGGAATTATATATAAGGATATCATTTGAATGTGAGAACTTTTTTTTTTCCTACTTGAAAATTCAAGATTACAAGGACAATATAGTGTGTAGCACTGTTCTAAAAATTGGCCTAGGCGGCGTCTAGGAGCTAGCTGGTGCCCGGCCGCCTCCAATTTGCACAAATCGCCCGAAAAAATCGGCCAGACAGCCCTAGGCGCTTCTAGGCGGACTTGGCAGGCTCGGCGGCTAGGCGGGCGTAGGCGGACCTAGGCGGACTCGGCGGCAATTTTTTTATTTTTTATTTATTTTATTTTAAATATTAATTACATTATTTTGTTCTCATGTTTTTTTTTAAAAAAATATATTGATATTACTATTTTGACTTATGTGTGTGAATTAATTATAAGTTGAGATAATTTTATTTTGTATGTAGTTCATATAAATAAAAAATAAAGTACATAATATTGATTTTTAGGTCCCGACTAGGCGCTCTAGCAACTTTTAGAACAAAGGTGTGTAGGATAGTGATGATCGTATAAGTACAAGTAAATATTACTATTTTATTAGTTCCCTAATTTCGGTACATTAGTGATTTGGAAAATAATAATAATAATAATAATAAGTCAAAGTGGGCTCATCTATACTTATATAATAAGGTATACCATTTACCAAATTTAGTAAGTTAAAAAGTCAATGCAATAAATGCATTCCTATTTTGAGTAACATAATATAATATCATATCTATACTTATATAAAAGAAGATTCTATTTACTACATTTACTATCCAGAAAAGTCAACTGCATTAAATGTCATTACTATTTTGGTATTATAATATTTTATTTATTTAATTAAT